TTACCCTCTCCCAGTGCACTCTCGAGGATGCTGGGACAGGGGAGTCCCGTGCCCTTGAGGGGAGGAGAGTTCCTCTCAGCCACTGGCCCCTCTCATCCACTGAGGAACACTCTGTCTCTGGAATCCCTCCAGAGGCATGGCAGTGGTGAGAGGGCAGGCGGGCAGGTGGGCAGCATCCCTGACAGAGGCGTTCACCAGCCTCACCTCAGGCCAGCCTGGCAGCCCTGGCCTCCTGAATCGCTTCTCTGCATCCATGACAGGGAAGACCCAGAGAGGACTGAGGCCACTCGGAGCTCAGGAGAGGGGCAAACCCTAAGACCAACAGATTCCTTCATTAGGGCCATGCACACCCAAGGGCAGCACACTTAGGTCTGTTTCTCATTAGCCTTTTTGGGCCTTGAGGAAGCCGAGGCTTGAGGCCAGACAACAGCCTTGTGTATTTGGAGGTAAGAGGAGGCCTAGTCCTCGAGGTCCCAGGGCCTCTGCATTTATAAGCCTGCACAGGCAAGCATGCACATACTCATGCGTGTGCGCACACACGTGTGAATTGGTAGGCACACATGCAGCATGCAAGTGCTCACATGCACATGCACTCAGGGCTTGGGCTGCAGGCCTGAAAAAGAGCCCTGCTACAGACTTGGCAGCCAGGGAGACGGGAGGGCCTGTCTGAGAAGGCCTCGCCATGACTGGTCCCAGCGTCTCCCAGTTCCATCCCTTCCTCTTCAGGCTGTTTGGCCCAGGGCCGGGGAGGCCATTGGCTCTGGCCTCAACTCTGAGAGATTCTCCTTTTGCTATCTGCCCTAGAGGGGCTTCTAGGCTGGTGAGGGAGCCTCACGAGGTGTGAGGAGACTCCACGGTGAAGCAGCCTTTGTCTTCTGTCCCCACACAGTGAAGAATAAAACTAGTGCCCAAGGAACACTGCTAGTCCTGCTGGGTGGGCGTCAGGCAGTCATATCTGAGTCAGACCTGAACTGACCACCTCCCTAGTTAACTTCAGGTAGGAGCTGAGTCCAGTCACAGGGGCTAGGATTGGGGCCCCTATTACCCTGGGCCAGGAGGGGAGGACATCAGAGGCCTATGGCCTTGGACATAAACCTTGTCACCTGTCTCTGCCTCTGTCGGGGGTGAGATGAACTGACTCAGGGATGGGTCATACCACCCTAGTCTCCCCCTTCCCCACCTGGATTTTGGGGCCCACAGATTACCACTAGCTACAGCCAGCTTCGAGATCTCCTGGAAGGCCAGGGCTTCCATCTCTACATTGTACACCCAGGGCCAGCACAGTGCCAGGCACACAGTAGGTGCTCAATATAAACTGATGAGCTAATGCACCACTTTTGCTCTCAATTCCTTTCTTTCTTTGTATTTGGTTTCTTTTTTCCTTTCTTTCCCTTCCCGTGCCTCAGACCTGGGACATCTCCAGCTCCACCGAGTCTGCTTAGGACCCACAGGGAGGGGCAGAACTTGAGCTTCCAGGGGTTTCCTCATCAGGGGCCGAATCCCCAAATGATCCCTGAGATGAGGGCTGTTTTTTACCAGCCTCTCTGGGCCTTGAGGAAACTGAAGCTTGAGGCAGGCCAGGAGGATATTTACCTCCTGAGATAAACTTCTTCAAGGAGCGGGGGAGTGGGGAGGCCATTTGGGAATGAGCACTTTCCTCAGAGTCAGTATGAGCAGAGCCCCTGCCCTGGCCACCCTCAATATTGTCACCCTGCTACCCTCAGCATTCACCCTCTCTTCTTGGTCTGAAGACTGGCCTCCTTGGCCAGCTCAAGGAGTCTTGTGCTGGGCCCACACTGGGCCAGATGCTGAGGAGATTTCTGCCTGCCAGGAGCTGACAGTCTGGTTTGCGAGATGCCCAGTCCCCAGAGAGAGTTGGGTCACAGAGAGCAGGCCAAGGCTCAGGAGAGCTGGAGCAGGCAGGACCAAACACAAGTCATTTCTCTCAAAGATGACTGACTCGGCCCTGAGCAAGACATTGGGTCTATGACAGGACTGTCACAGGACACTCCTACAGGATGAGGGGCACAGGGTAGGCTTGAGGGTATGTAGAAACATCCCTCATTGCTGTGAGGTAAGCAGTTAAGGGCACTGGGTTTGAGAGCTCAGCCTCTGGCTGGAACTGCCTGGGTTTGCATTTAGGTCTGACCCTCATGAGCTGAGACTGTGGGCAAATAGGACCTCTGTGAACTAGGGAGGCTGATAGTCCCACCAGATGCCGCTGTTTCCAGAATTAAATGAGTTCTCGATATAAAATATTTAGAATAATGTCTGGCACATCGTAAGCCCTCAGATGATACCAGGTATTATTGTTATAGACTGAAGTAAACTGAAACTCACCATAAAGGGCTTTTATTGACTGTTGACATTTGATTTTTTCCACTGGACTCTGAGCTCCCCATGCCCTTTATCTTTTATCCCTGGCACAGCTCAGGGACTCAAAAATACGTTGAAAGAATGAACACATGAACAAGTGGATTAGGGAGAGTAGGGCATCAAGATATACTTCCTGGAAGAGGCAGCACCTGGAGAGAGGGCCCCACGGAGGTGGGGAGGACAGCCCAAGCAAAGGCTGGGAGACTTCTTGCTGGGCTGGCATCAGGGGTGGTTCTCAAGGGAAGAAGTCCAGCCAGGTCTAAGGGGGCAGGGAGGAGAGGCCGGGAGCGGCTGATTGGCTGGAGCCTACCACAGAGGCAGGACAGCCCCTGTCCTGTGTCACAGGGGTCTGGGTCTGGATGAAGGCTGCCCCCGAGATGAGGATGGATAGAAAAAGGGCAGCAAGAGGCATCGAGGGCTTTCAGCTTAAACTCATCTTCCTCCTCTGCCCGGGCACCGTGGCTCGTTTATGGAGTTTGAAATTCTGTTGTCACAGAGAAAAACCAGCCTCACTCCACAGACCTCTCAACCCGTAAAGAAACAAGTGTTGGAGATAAGAGAGGATTTTTAACAAATAAACTTCCCTACAGGAGACTTAAAAGAGGAAAAGTTTATGAGTCTCCTCTCCTCTTCTCTCCTTTCTCTTCTTTCTCTTTTCTTCTTCCCTTCCCTTCCTTTCCCTTCCCTCCCTTTCCCTGCGCTTTCTTTCCCTCCCTCCCTCCCTCTTTCCTTCTTTTTTTCATTCTGTCTTTATTAACAACTCATTCCCCAGATTAAAAAAAAATATGTATAAGCAACTCACCCCACCACAGTGTCATCCTGCGCTGAACACTGAGAACCTACCAAAGGTTTTATTGACCCAGAGTCTATAAAAGGATCATCATGTCCATTCCCCGGCCTCCTATTTCAACTGTGTATAGATCCTCACAGGTGATGCCCTGTTTCCCTCAAAGGTACCCCATGGCGTCTGCTCAGGCCCCTTCTTCTCTCCTGCCATCAGGCAGAGATCTAGGTGTTATGATCCTTAGGCAATGGAAGGCCCAGTCTAGACTCTGAGCGCTGTCCCCTGACTCATGGAGCAGGCGAGACTGTATTGTGAGCAGATCAGGCTGGATGGTGGGGAAAGTGTCACTGAAGTGGAGACACATCCCTACCCTGGGGGACCCCCCAATCTGAGAGGACCTCTGCTCCAGGAAACCCTCAATCTTAGGGAGTAGGTTGTAAAACTGCACCACAGATGGGCTGGGCTGGGCCCCCCAAATCCGTATCACACAGTGAGTGACTTAGAGTGTGTGTGAAGCTGTCAGGTCAAGGGCAGTGGGGAAAAGCTGTCCTCTCTTAGTTCTCTCTATCCCTTTTTATCCCCAGCCTGACTGACCAAGAGGGAGGGTCGATGGAAACCAGTGTCCCCTTGGGGCAGGGGGAGAGTCAGGGCTGGAGAAGCGAGAAGTTGGGAGAGGCCTGCCGAGTGGCTCACTGGAGTCTGGCAGGCGAGTGACCACAGGAGATAAGCCCCTGCGATAAGGGGCAATCAAGCCACCTCATTTAGCAGAGCCTGTCGGTGACAAGCTGAGCACCGCATGGCCCAGGATGTGTGTGGTGGGGAGGTGGGGGAGTTGCATGATTCAGGAGCTCTCAGCCTGAGGTCAGAGCTGGCGGGCAAGAGGCCTTCCGAGGCAGCCCCCCAGCTTTCCTGTCAGTCTCTACCCAAGTGGGAACATTCCTGTGCCCTGACATGGGAGCATCTCCAGGAGAATCTCGTTAAGACGGAGATGGTGGGGGTGGAATGTGGGAGGGGGCTAAATTCCCAGCAGCTTCTTGGTTCCTTCCTGGTCACATCATAATGAGTGTGAGCTGACTGGCAACATGCACGTCTACAGGGAGCTCACTGAAGCTCGTGACCTAGAGGCCAGAGGGAGGCTTCCAAGGGAGGAAGAGTGTGAGCCTCAGGATGGCGGAGTTGGCCTTGGCCTTTCTGTGACAGAAGGATCCCCTCTGGGGCCCAGATGATGAGCGGGGGTTGCCTGCATGCATTTGCAAAAGCCAACACTGGGAAGACTCTTATGGCACAGAAGGAAAACTGAGGCTCAAGGAGGGGAAGGGCCTTGCCTGGGATCACACAGCACTTGAGAGTTCTCAGTTCTCTTCTCTGCTCCAGACTGCATAAGAACTGCAAAGTCAAATTTCCACTCTGCTCTGTCTGTGCATATACTTGTGTGTGTGCATATATTTGTGCGTGTGTGGATGCTGGGGGCATACTCTGCAGGCCTGCAGCTGCAGCCGGTCCCTATCCAGGACCCCAACCCTCTGGTCAGCCGAGGCAACTCACATGGGATGGCTGGCTTCCAGACTTCCAGGCGATGCTCACTCATCACTCCATTAGCTGCCTTTGGATCGACAGTTCACAGGCGGTTCTCATTCTGGCTTGGTGCTCCCCTAGGCCCAGCAAGAGCATTGAGGACACGGCTCAGCTTACAAGTCTTCAGGGACCTGTCAAGCTTACAGCAATTTC